ACTGCGTAGCAGCTTGTTCAGTTCGTGATAGAAAGTGTCCTTGACTGCATTAGAACTGCAGTCCGTGGGAGCATAAGCAGAAATCACAAACAAACAGCGTTTTGTTTTACTTCGCGAATTCACCTTAGCTGATGTCGTCAAACGGGCTGCACATAAACGACTGTTCACCGGAATCCAATCCACCAACGATAACTCAGCCTTGGAGCTGAGAATGATACCTACACCAGCTTGACCGGTGAGTGCCGCATCGGCGTCTCCGGATGCGTGCAACCAATAACGAGAGGATAAGCCGGGTGCAGTCAATTCAATAACCCCGTTAGGGTCATTAATCCTAGTTTCGGACACACAACACACATCAACACCCAGTGTGTCCAAGGTGCGTGCGAGTGCAGCCTGCTGACCTGTTTGTCTTAGAGTGCGGACGTTGAAGGTCGCTATGGAAACGGGACAGCGTGGTCTTATAAGGGACTTTTGCCGATAGGCGTCCGATAGGTGCTGTGGGATGGTGTCTGCAGATGGTGCTACTCCAGTAGCACTTCGGTTGCTGTCAATTAAGTTAGGAATTATAGAAGGAAGGTTAGTAATGGGGGCCGGGATGGGAGTAAGAGAAAAAGGTGGAAAAGAAGGGAGGCGCCAGCAGTAGCATGCTTTCGCTTATCTGCCCTGCTGTATGCAGCAGATAAGGCGACCCTTGATAACCTGCGCGACGGCCGATGCAGGATGAAGTTTATGTTTGAAGAAAATGTCATGGTTGTATGTGGGCTGGGATACTGCCAAGGAGGCTAAACATAGCTAAAACTCATTACATCTTAAGCTGAAACTTTCTCGACCGTGTCAACCAGCTGGATATATATATATATATATATATATATATATGTAAAGGTCTACGAATAGACATAAAGCCCTCAGAAACCATGGGATTCAAAAGGTACAAAAATAGTAAAAGAAAACACCACACAACAATGTCCATGGTTTCGTCAAAGGGCGGGATACTACCTGGTTGCCCAAGCCGAAGTAGGATAAAGCCATCAAGGGAAACCAACTTCACCCAAAATCACAGCTTGCTGATGTAACTAGGCATCCTTCTTGCGACCGTTTACTCATTGTGAGTGCTCCTGAATCCAAAATGGAAACTTCTACTGAGAGGATACTGTATGATCAAGCCTTCCTGAAACTAACCCTTTTACTTTTCTTCGACGCTGGTGTATAGGGCATACATCTCATTTCTGCTTTTCGTCTTGGTAAGATCAAAGATGACCCCTCTAAGGTCCGTTCTTTGAAAATTGTGTCAGAGTAAAGATGAATGCAGTCGCATTCTCCTTCGAACTTTGCGACTTAATGGGGACCTCTTTCTAAAAGACCGAGTTACAATGAAGAAGTGTGTTGAGGAATTGTGTACTCGCAGATCAAATGGTGAAACCAACCTCTATATTGTGTATTTTCAGCTACTGCAGGGGACCCCGAGAAATCGCCGGTGACCGATGTTTGTCATTCCAGGTCAGTAAAACCAAAGGATGGCCGCTTGTTATGTGCAAATATTCGCAGCCTAAGCAACAAGCTAGATGCGATCCACCTTTTTAGTACAGTACATCATCCGGATCTGATGGCTGCCGCTGTTTTGATCCGGAGATGAGCATCAGAGGATTTCATCTTGCTGAAGCTGACCGTACTGAAATTAGATCTGGTGGTAGCATCATCCATTACTGGAAAGCTGACCTGAAGGTTCATATTGTGCAAGCTGTCGCGGATCATGACGGGGGCTTCGAAGTACTTTGGTGTCGAGTTCACGATGGACGCAGATCGCTCATCGTCGGCACTGTATACGGAGCTCCATTGGATCAGGTTCCTGCTTCTTGAATCCGTTAAAAATATATTTAGGAGATAGGAACTGTTTGACGATGGGCGATTTCAATGCTCCAAGGGTTATCTGGGATTTTCAACCCTGTGATTTGCCTCCCGACTCCTTAGATATTGTTTTACTCAAATCCGTCCTAGAGGCAAATTTGTTTCAGCACGTGCAGATGCCTACTGGAATCCTACCGGGCCAGTCGCCGCACATCCTCGATTTGGCGTTTACGCCAGCACTGTCTGATGTCACTATCCTAACTGTTTTCCAACCGTTTGGTAAAAGCGACCATTATGTCGTCTCGTTTTTGTGGGCTAAACATCTCGCAGTTAACAAGACAGTGTATTATCAGAACTCCTAGGCTACCGATTTTTCACTGTTAAGAACGGCAAGACCGCGCTTGACTGGAGCATTCCCCAACATCTAGGACTCGAGAATGCGTAGAAGCACTTGTGCTCCAAAATGACATTTCTCATTAATCATTTTGTCCCTATTTCCAGAAGAAGATCCTTTTCCAAAGGTCCCTCTGGATTGATTCAGAACTGCGACTCCTGTTGAATGAACCAAGGAATCCGTGGGACAGTTCCAAGGCTAATCAAATTGCCACCGCTTGTTCGGAGTACAAAGCAGTTAAGAACTTGTGCACCACTAAAAAGAGGAAAAAGCGACAACCTCACGAACTGTCCTTGGCTAGACAATCCGCAACTGCTCCAAAAAACGCTATTCTCGTGTGTAAGACGCAAAACTAAAGTCGGTAATGGTGTTTCTGCGCTGAAGTGTTTTCTACCTGCAGCTAACGTGTGCACTGATGATGACAATATCCCCTCTGGATGATATTGTACTGCAAAACGACGACACTAAAGCCGAACTACACGCCTCCTACTATTTGCTCGTCAGAATCACCATTTCCTTGTGAATTTATGACTCTACTCCCTCCCACATTTCCTTTGTCCATCGAAATTAATTCATCGATGGTCTTGAACAAGTGAAGTGAACAAGTCAAGTGAACAAAACTTGACTTGACTTGAACAGGAAGGTCCCGATGATTTACATCCGCTTTTTTCTCAAAACTATGGCCGAGTACATCGTTGTTCTCTCTCTGTCCAATGTTTCGACTCACTCTTGCAGCTGGCCGACTGCCTCCTGGTTGGAAAGTAGGTATCGTGAAACCTATATTACAAAGGTGGGGATCGGCAAGACCCTGTTAATTACAGGCCAATTTGCCTGATCTCAGTCATCTGCTAGAGTATGGATAGGATCCTGAAGCACTTCCCTCAAAGTCACATAGAGGTTCTTAACGTAATGTCGCCCACTCGTCGTGGGTTTAGAAAAGCACGCTCTTGCACTTATAACCTACCCGTTGCTCGGGCGAAATGGGCGAAATCGTTAGATACTGGCAAGCGTCTGGATGTCGTTTTCGTCTAATTCAGCAACGCGTTTGTTAAGGCCCCCATGAACTCCTCTTCAAGCTTTCGAGAATCGGTGTCTCTGGGAATATGCTTTCTTGGATCACTGATTTTCTCAAAAGCCGTTCATTACACCCGTTCCGATGATCAGTGAGGTGCCTCAAGCTGATTGCCTAATCTATGCCGGTGACTGGAAACCGTGGATGGAGGTCGATAGCTTTAATGGTGCTGATAGATTGCACTAGTCACTGAACATGTTGCACGACTGGTCCGCGAAAAGTGCTTTGTCTTCTCGATTGGTGCTGCTGCTCCACTTCGCACCTATCACGTCGCTAGCTCCCTCCTAGCGTCTGCCAATCGAGCATAGGATCTCGGCGTCGTATCCTCTGTTCTACGAACAGCCCAATATACCACAAAATAGTTCCCTGCAGCTAACAGGATGTTTTGATTTATAAAAAGATCATTCTCTCGGATGACTCCTGAGATCTTCACACTCCTGTTCGTTTCACATGTGCGTTCCATCCTTGAGTACAGCTTACCAGCGAGTTACCCACTCACCAAGTCCGAGTGCAACCTGCTGGAGAAAGTTCAGAGATGAGGTTCCAAATCGGTCCCAGTCCTTCTGAATTTGTCTTAGTACGACCGCCTCTTACGTATGAGTCTGTTCTCCCTAGGCTACCGCCGCCGTCGTGGGAACCTACTTTACGCAAGACGCATTTTGATAGGTGAGCTGGGTAGCGATCACCAACAGTACTTCCAGGTCAGCAAAAGTATCTCAACTCGTGGGCATAGTCGGAAACTCTTCAAACTGAGGAGGCATTGAATTCACCTTATCTTCCCGAGTAGTGAACGATTGAAACAATTTACTAGAAGCCGTGGTCACTGCCCCTACTGAGGAATGTCTCAAATGGCTTTTGGATTTCCACCTGCTTAATGTATTAGGATCGTGCAATTATTCTTTTCACTTTGCCCTCCACTGTGATTGTGTTTTCTCATTAGCACGCACCTTTCTGAGTCCATTTATGATGTGATGAAGCTGACAAGGGTTCTCCCATCTGCTTTCTATAATTCGATGTGTTAGGGTTAGGTCCATCATAACTAACCCAACCATAATGATAAACGCTCAACCACTATGGATCACTGTATTGAACACTCCGTCATAGTCAGAGCAGCGCTCGCATTCAACATCATGGGCTGATGTAGTACGGTTGTCCAACTTCAGGCCTGTAGCCCAACTGGTCAGATACATAGATTCTCGCAATGTGTCCATTCTATTAGTACCGGGTTGCAACACGATGTATTTCAATTCAATGTATCCATGATTGACCACACTTTTTCCACCGTGAACCACGTGTACGTGTGATGCTGTACTGGCAGGGTAGCCGGCTGTTTGTTTGCATTCACATGACACCTTACTGACTTACCTTCAGTTTTCAGTTCTCTTTTAATCACTCAGATACCTTAGTCTTCTATTCGTTTAGCTCTTACCTCTTTCTCTTCTTGCCCTCTGAGTTTACTGATTTCTCTTTCTTACTTCACGTAACCTGCCCAGTAGGGACTGCTAGAGCAGGGTATGTGGACAATAATTGGTTGGATGCGGTCTTTGTTTTAGGTCCATCTGTATTTCCAAGTCCTTCTCCAACTGGTTTAACGACCCGCTGAAGAAGGGACACTCATGGGATAATCCTATCGTTCCAGTCCCAGTTGAACTTTAACTTGCATTGTTTGCCTCTCCTTTGCATTTCGCAGATATATTCAACACAGTCAAAATGAACGATATCGACTTGGACCGCAGAGCTATCTCAAATTTTCGCACATATTTGCAGTTTCCTACTGTCCATCCTGACCCCGACTATAGCGCTTGCGTGGAATGGCTGCGTTCGCAAGCGACGGAGCTTGGCCTCACTTTTACCGTGATCCATTTTGTGACAAACAATCCTATTGTCGTCATGGGCTGGGAAGGAAAAGAACCGAGTCTACCATCCATTTTGCTCAATTCTCACATGGATGTAGTTCCTGTTGACAAATCCAGATGGACACACCCTCCATTCGCGGCTGATATTGATGATGATGGCAAGATCTTTGCTCGAGGAAGTCAGGTAAGTTATGAGTCCTGTTTTTTTATTGCACTAGAAAGTGTTCCTCGCTTCTTCACAGGCCCATCGTTTGTTATTTTACGGTCACCAGCTTCCGCAATAGACCTATCGTGTTATCTGCGAATATCAAGTGGAACCCAATAGTCTTGATATTCTTTCTAATTGGAAAACAGAATGCGAAATCGAACACTGGTAGATGCGCGCGTTTCGCATTGTCTCATCAGTACCAATAGGATAACAAGCAATTATCTTTTACCGTTCAAACGGTGTCATCATCTACCATATATTACCGTGTAATCGCCGAGGAATTTTTGACAATTTTCCATGTCTGTAGTGGAGAGATCGGCGTATACAAAGGTTATGCGCAATTTGAAAAATTCACATGCAAAATCCACCCATAAATTCACTGCACACCTATGCCTCGATCTTGCTTAGCACCACTCGCTAGTGACAGATGGGATCCCAGGCGGGGATTTGATGTGCCTATATGTAGACACATGTTTGTGTCGAAGATTCTCGATATACTGTACATTTGACTTTCACGACGGATGGCAGTAACAGAAACATACTGATTATACAGACTCGAACACCATCACACAGACTAACATTGGAAAAAGACATGACAGAATAGCACGTACCGGTAGATTTTATAGGCTCACATATCCAAACGCTGCACAATGATATTAAAATTACTCGAATCCTTCGAAACTATAATCCGAGTCGGAATCTCCAAACAGTTTCTTGTACTGATCCTCTGTCACTGGGACGTCGGTGAATATCGTCATCTTCAACTTCATTACTCTCGGCATTGTCATATTCCTCAAAAATGGCATCGTCCTCCATTCCATCTATTGGATTACTGATGCAGCACTTTTTGAATGATCGTATGATAATTTCTGATGGAATATCCAACCACGCTTCTTTCACCCACGCTGTAATTGTAACAATGTCAACCTTTTTCACATTACCACCCGTCGTCAACGCTAAATCAGACGATACCATCCATTTAATCCACCTGGCCCGAAGCCTACTTTTAAAGGGCTTATTGAAACAGACATCCGGTGGCTTCTAGATTGATGTAAGTCCTCTGGAAATTAAAGCCGCGGACGCCTTCAGTTCACATCAACGTTTCTTTACGTTCTCAGTTCCGTGTGCATTAAAAGCTCAGCTGAGTGATAATTATGGGCTTAACTCCGAACGAACTGACGACGGCGAGCGTCTGCTGTTTCTTAGTAGCACTGCTTTTAGACACACTGGACGCAGAAGTGTCACTTGGCGTCCTCCGGTAACTGGCCAGCGATGGACACAAGTTGACCATATTGTCATAAGTTACAAGTGGCTTGGTTCCATTCGGGATTGCCTCTCTACTGGAATACCTGCGTCGACTCTGATCATGCCTTGGTAAGTTGTCGTTTCTCTATGAACTTTACGGGGAGGCGCACCAAGCGTCTCCTCCGATTGACAACTGAGAAATCATAAAATGGAAATGCACAAATCAAATGGCTGATGAAGCCAAAGTGGTGGGAAAAGTGGAATCACGACAAACAGAAACTCAAAAGTATTGATCAATAAAATCCATTAACAACACATGTGACAAAGCACGTGTTAGTTGATCGGTGGGATGCCAAGTGCATCATCCGACCACTGTAGGCGCCCGGAGTGGTAAAAATTAGTGAGCTAATTAGGGCCAGGGTAGAAGAAGCCCTTGCAGAAAAGCCTTCTGTTTGCATAATTCCGGTTGAAATATCCTAATCGCAATCGCTTCGGCCGTCCGTAAAATTTGCTTTCTAAGACCTTTAGTGTAACGTGGTTGTACTACATAAAGTACTTGGAAGGCATCAGCGGTCCTAATTCGATGTCCGCTTTCCACCAGATGTTCCAGGATGGAACTGTTGGGGCGACTGACGATGCCTTTCTGCAAAGCCGCTGGGCAGTGCTCCGCAATGCGTTTAGACAGACGCCTGATTGTGTGTCCCACGTACCTCGCACCACAGGCGCAGGTAAACTGATATAAGATGTAAGATTGGGACTGAACCGGAAGTCTATCTTTAATGCGTTGGGTTATAAAGGGAGCTGTTTTTGCAAGGACGTGTAGGCATGCGGCTGGGAAGGTTCTAGCCACTGCAGTGGAAATCCTTCTGGTCAACAGATCAAAGGTAACATCGCATTTAAAGGGAACTGACAGAAACACGTCCTTCTTAGGGACAGTAGTAAAGAATGTGACAAACACTACATCGGGCAAACTGGAAGGAAACTATCAACACGGATCAACGAACACAGAATGGCCATACGGAGACACGACCCACATTCATTGGTTTCCATGCATGAAGACCAAGAAGGCCACCACTTCGACCTAGAGAACGTTAAGATCCTAGCCCGTGGAAATTCGAGGCAAGCTAGAGAATTCTTAGAAGCATGGTATTCTACGGACAGTTCAATAAACCGACACGTCGAAATAGATGCTATATATACAACACTACGGATGAAAGATCTTCGAATTAGTAGAATAAATCTAACGGAACAGAGCGCTAGACTTCTGCATCAAACGACGACAAGCGAAGAGTCACACGCGCGTACACTACGAGGTGAGAATCAGAGATCGATTTCTATGGTCATGTGCTCGTCGAACAATCCAAACTCAGACTAGCGGCTAGGAGATCGATCGCTCCACACTCACTGACGCTCCACTTTGCTAAATACACGCGCACTGACGATGTCACCTCGAGTGGTGACGAAACGTTTGCAGTCAACCTGCCGAGCTCAGCGAACACTCAGACAACCAACAGTAGTAATCACTTCAGAGCTAACGCGGATCACTGCATACTTTTTGATGAATGGGGGCGGATAACCGTTATCTTGCAGCGTTTTGAGAATACGGATCTTTTCGGCCTCTAGCGTCTCTTGGCTGCAAATTTTCGTAGCACGAAAATACAAGCAGCGGACAAGATTACGTTTGTACCTCAAGGGTACAAAGCTCAGAAAATATGTATATTGGCCTACCCAAGTGGTCTTCCGGAATACACTTCTTTCCAATGAACCATCATTTCTTCGGCTTAGCAATACGTTCAAGAAGGCTAGCTTACCATCTCTTTCGGTTTCGATAGTAAACTTCAACAATGGATGAACACCGTTTAACTGGTTTAACAGGTTGGAAACATTGGTGTTTGAATCGCAGATTATAAACGTATCATCCATATAACGACAATAGAAATCAAACGAAGCGATGATGGGTCGTACAGCTTCACGCTCAATCATAGCGAGGAAAATATCAACAAGGAGTGGTCCTAGGGGGGGGGGACCCCATCGCGCCGCATACCCACACGTCCTTGCGGAAACAGCTCCCTTTATAGCCCAACGCATTAAAGTTAGACTTCCGGCTCAGTCCCAAGCTTACATCTTATATCAGTTTACCTGCGCCTGTGGTGCGAGGTACGTGGGACACACAACCAGGCGTCTGTCTAAACGCATTGCGGAGCACTGCCCAACGGCTTTGCGGAAAGGCATCGTCAGTCACCCCAACAGTTCCATCCTGGAACATCTGGTGGAAAGCGGACACCGAATTAGGACCGCTGATGCCTTCCAAGTACTTTATGTAGTACAACCACGTTACACTAAAGGTCTTAGAAAGCAAATTTTACGGACGGCCGAAGCAATGGCGATTAGGATATTTCAACCGGAATTGTGCAAACAGAAAGATTTGCTGCACGGGCTTCTTCTACCCTGGCCCTAGTTAGCTCACTAATTTTCACCACTCCGGACGCCCACAGTGGTCGGATGATGCACTTGGCATTCCTCCGATCAACTAACACATGCTTTGTCACATGTGTTGTTGATGGATTTTATTGATCAATACTTTTGAGTTTCTGTTTGTCGTGATTCCACTATTCCCATCACTTTGGCTTCATCAGCCATTTGCTTTGTGCCTTTCCATTTTATAATTTTAACTACCTGAGGAGATTTATCGAAAAGAGTACTCTTCGCAACATTGTGTTCTTGCATTTCCATGGGTATAATCTACGAACTGAGAAATTGTCTCAGCCCTCTGTTAGGCAAGCCTATCAACACGCACTGCCTGCCGAACATTCGCTGTCTTATCATAATGACACTAAGCTTCAGTGGAATAGGATTTTGGCTGCCATGCACACCGCAGGAGCATCTGCTTGTGGCACTATCAATCGTCACCGCATCAGTCACTGGATATCCGAGAGGTCGGTGAACCTGTTGGAATACAGAAGAAAACTCCCGGCTGGCTCTGAGTATAATGTGACCAGACGGGTTACTAGGCGCAAACTAAACCGGAGCCTAGATGCTAGCAAGGAAGCCTGGTGGACCAGTAGGGCTCAATAAATGAAGGAGACAAGAGCAGTAGACGATTACCGCAAACTGTTCCAGCTAATCCGCACCACTGGTCCCAGAAAACCAGGCGTCAGTGAGACAATCAGAGACAGCGCGGGTGCACTGTTTCCGAATAAGGAGCGCCGTATGGCTCGTTGGGCGGAACACTTTCAAGTTCAGTTCAGCTGGCCCCCTGCTCCCAGTCCTCTTCCTACTCAGGTGATGTAGGAGGAGCCATGGACGGTTAGTTTAGAGCCTCCTTCGGACGCCGAGGTCCGAAACGCGATCACTGCCCTCAATCGTTCTCGTGCAGCTAGTCCGCATTCCCTCCCACCTGCACTACTTAATGATGGAGGTGAGGTCCTCTGCAGGGCACTGACCTTCATGTTCGAACTTACCTGGAATGAAGTGTCCCGACTAGAGAGCGAATTGATTATAGTGGTTATATACAAGAAGGCAATTCACACAGACTGTTCTAACCACAGGTGTATTAGCCGAATGCGTTGTGACAAAAGTACCGACCTAAATTTTCGTTTTTCTCTTCACTGCGGAACGGGAATCTCAGATTAGGGAAGAGCAGGCTGGTTTCCGCCCAGGACGTGGTTGTATGGACCATAAATTCAATCTGCGGGAGGTTCTGGAGCAGCGCCACGCATGCCATAGACCGA